AAGGGAAGGGAAGGGAAGGGAAGGGAAGGGAAGGGAAGGGAAGGGAATGACAGTGATTAACAAGGATGGCTTGTTACAGATGTTCACTTCTTACACATGTACCACATGCCCTTGCTTTTGCACATTTTCTTCTGAACATTATTCTTTCAGTCAAAATAGGACACGCCAAAACCTTGAAGTAGAAACTATATTTAATCTGTGCTTTTTTTCTTTCTCTCTGGTCTGTTGCATAGCCTAAATACATGGCACAGAATGCAGTGGCCTGGAGAACCTTGATACTTAAAAATAACTCCCATTTTCTTCTGACTGATGATTTATTTATTTTTTTGTACAGCACTAGAAAATCACTGATTTCAGTATTTAGAACAGTAATGGAGTTCTAATTTCTTAAGTACAATCAGGAGTGCAATTTGGGGAACTTTCAAGTGATTTTTTCAAGCATGCTGTTTCTCTGCCTTCTAGTAACCTGTAGTCTCAAAACAAAAACAAAAACAAAAAAGGAGGGGGATGATGTTTTGAGAAACTGAGTTGAGTGTCTATTCTAAAACTGATACTGCTGGATTGAATGCAAGTATCCGAAATTCCAGGATGAGGATTAAATCAGCCTCTTTGAAAAGTGGCAGGGGAGGGTTCAGCCCTCATTATCCATCTTCCTGAAGACAGCAAGGTTGTGTATGTGTGTGAATTCAGGGGAAGAGTTGACTAAGAATTGTAAGAACATTGCATGTCTTGAAGGCAGCTGACATAGTGCATATAAATAATGCCTGAGCTCTTTTGTGGTGTACAGCAGCACTGAATACACTTCCAAAAATAATGACAAAGATGTTTGTTCAAGAAACCTACTGCCTGGAGCTGAAAACACTTGTAAACTTCTTCAAGGAGTACTCCAAAGTACGTCTTAAAAGATTTTCTCTATAATGTTCTCTTTATAGAACAATAAATTGTGGTGAGACTTAAGATGAAATGCTTTTTCCTGCCGTTAGATTGTGCTGCATTAGTCTCTTGAAATACAGCTGGAGATTGACTGCTTGTTAAAGAACATTTGAGACAACCTACTGTAAACAGTAACTCACAAATATCAATGTGTTCTTCAGGCACTACTTCTATGTATATATGTATGTATGTATTTATTTATTTAGAGATAGTGAAGACTGTTACTCCATTTGAAAAGGGAATGGAGGAATTACCCATGTGATGCACAAAGATCTATACTCTTCTTCACTGCTCGTGGAAGTATAGCCACTAAAGAACTGACTATTCCAAGATTCTTTCTTTGCAGTTTGTATGAACAGTTACACGTAAGTAACACTGAACTACTCATCAGCCTCCACAATGTAGAGTCAAAAGACTTAACAGTAATTAATCATAGAGCCAAAGAATATCTTGGGTTGGAAGGGAACCACAAGGACCATCAAGTCCAAGTCTAACATGTTTAGTAACACATTAATGAGTTAAACAAATAGAGCAGGAACCTTACTAAGAACACAGCACTGAACTTGGGTCCCCAAAAATTTAACTACCTGACCATCTCTTCTTCAAAGAGGACCACTGAGTGAAAATCAAAAGCTTCTGCAGCACCTTATAAGGAGCACCCAAAATGAAGATTTCCAATTGTTTTGGAACAGAGCCAAATACAGTTCTTTTTGATTATTGCAGAGTAGTAATTGAATGGAACAGGATCTGATCCAAATAATTTTGGTGGGTTTCAAATCTTGCCCTAAAATTGTTTGAAAATAACTAAATTCAAATGAGAGTAAATGGCAGAGCTCCGACACTACATTGAGCAATGATGTTCGCGCTTGGTGGTATCTGTGTTCTTTGATCTTTCATCTCTTTAGATACCACGGTGTTCTGGGAGGTTTCAGAGTTTGTTTCTTTTTCTCCAATAGTTCAATTACATCTCTGTTGTTTCTCTGAGCCAAAATAGGCAGCCAAGCTTGCTCTCGTTACTTTCATTGGAACAATAACACAAAAGTCAAGGAATTTTTCAAAACAAAGCCCATTGTAAATCATCTATTTTTACAAGCAGGAAAATACAGGAACAAGACAGGGTTGGCTGCCACCACACAGTTAATTCTCAGTCTTTAGGAAGCTCCCACAGCAAATACAACATCTGTCCACCAGCTACTTGTTTAGAAGCCCAGTCATCTTCTTTTAGGGTATGGTTAATAAACAGAGTGAACTGATTAAAGAACTCTAAACCAACAGTCAGAAACCCTGCTATCTCCTTCAGCAAGCAGATCAGTGTAACCAAAAATCTCCTTGTTGATGTCTTTCCTTGTACTGGAGACAGTGCTCTGTTCTGTAAAAAAAATTCCTCTTGAATCAGAACAAAATTTTGTGAAAACTTCCAACCTAGAAGGTAAACATGGACATTTGCATCTGTCAGTTTTTTCCAAACCATCTAGATACTTGGACATATCTCCTGAACTTGCCCCGTGTTTTTGCGATTATTCTTTTCAACAGGAAAGTGTAGTTGCAGAAAGAGTCTGTAATAAAGTCAGACAAGAAACATTTAGCTCAGTGTCTCTTTGTACCTTACTGTTTTGTCTTTTTTTATCATTATGATATTTATCAGAACTTTAAGCAGAGAAAGACATGGGGGAATGATTTTGGAAGTGCATTCATACAACTTAATATCAGGAAACTAAACTCTGGAAACTAATCTACCTATATTTATTTCTTCTAAAGAGAGATAAATGGAGAGAAGGAGGAGAGAGGCTTTCAGAACACAGATTGGAGTTGAAATTCAGAAGTTTTGACTTACCAGCTGGAATATTTTAATATGGTTCTCATTAGAGGAATTTAGTGAGATTAACTTAGGTCTCTGAATCCCAAGTTACACATGAATTTAAATCCCAAATAAAGCAAAGAAGGAAGACAGAACCTTTCTTTCTGCATCTTCGCAAGTTTTGCTTAAGTTGGGCAATTCAGACCCAATATTACTTATGAGCAAAAGAATCATACAAGCACTTATGAATGCTGTTACATTCCAGATCCTGAGACATTACTCAGCACTGATGAGAAAACCGTGCATATTCTGCATAGGATTAATTGCAGGAAGAATTAGTCATGCTGGCTGACAGGGTTAACAGAAATTCATCCCTTCTCTTTCAGCGAGCTACTGAATTACTTTGCTTTTACAAGTCTAAATTATTCATGGAAGAACTTAATGAAAATGAATTTCAGCCTCTTGGTTATGAAATGTCCATTGTGGCAGTGCCACATATCACAATTTGTGATTAATTGCTAGAATATCTTTTGTTTTTTCTCATTTCAAAATGCCCACTGCAGACACATCCATCAGAAGAACCATGCTAAATACAATGTATTTTCAGTTATCACTGGGGGTGGGAAGAAATCTTGATTTTCATTGGGAGGATACAGTACAAATATGTGTACACCAAACAGGCTGGGATTCAGGTGGAAGTGCAGCAGCAGTGCTTTAAGCTATTAAGCAGAGCTTAGCTGAGACATGTTGACAACATGAATCACAGTGGACTGAGAAGTGATAAGTATTTATAAATAAATGCAAAAACAATGAAGCCTGAGTTTTCTTAACACAGCAGATAGCACGAAAGTACTCAGCTGTAATTAAGTACCATTCTGAAACTCAGTCCAACTGAGTTCTAAAAAATGATTTCTAAAAAGTAAATAATCTTTGATTTCAGACAGTGGACTGCTGTCACTGCTAACTCATTCTCCAAATTCAGGCTGCTACAAAAGCTCACTTTGATCCATGCAATCTGACTTGTTCATTTCAAAATGATTATTCATTTTGAAATGAATAATTTCAATAATTAAATAATTTCAGAGTGAACTCACTGCTTGAGCAGTATTTCTAGATTTGTGAATTGAATTTAAAAGCATATTAGGCAACATATTTCAGCCTATATATTCTTTGATATAGTAGAATTTAATAAATTCAGGCTGACATTTTCTTATCAGAGGCAACCTGACAGAAGGTAAAAATCTTGATCTTTATACCAAAACCTTGAGCAGCGTATACACTTAACCCAGCTGAAACCTTAAGCATCTCTAGCTTCCTCTTACTTAGGACACTTTGGTAAATCAGTGAAACCACTGACAGTTGTTGATATAGATAAATATTTTGTTTATAGCTCCTCCTTTTCTGGGGCTTCAAATTTTTTGTAGTGACACTGAAAGGCATAAAGACTGAAAAGTATCCGGGAGAGATGAAGAATTTACAGATCTTCTAGCAAGAATGAATTGCTAAATGCTTTTTAGTTTCTTTTGAGTCTTAGTTTCCTTTCAGCAGATGGCACTGTGAGAGCATTTGAACTGAATCCTCCAATATATTTCTCTTTATATTATAGACATAAATTAGTCATTAATATTGGCATTTGGCATTTCAAGATAAGTGTCTATCTTTTAAAGTGATCTTTGAAATTACTGGGATGGAAGTTATCAAATGAAAAATCTAGTAGTACATACATCACTGGTTTGGGATACCTCATTTTTGATAACTTCAAATATGTCTAGTAACGTCAGGATTATTTTAAATTAAACTAAAATGAAATCCAGTCTTTTTTTTTTTTTTTTTTTTTTTTTTTTTTTTTTTTTTTT